ATTTGCTTGATAACATTCTGAATACATAACTACATTCTAATTATAATTAAAGATGGTTATATCATATTTATTAACTTATGAAGGGCTGTAATGATATCATATTTATGCGGTTAAACACTAAAAGAGTAGTGACATTAGATTTTGCTTTTTACTAGTAACTTGGCATTCTATCTTAATCCTCAGAGATTTGCATTAATATTATGATTCTTAGCCGAAGATAGAAGTTGGTGTCGCACAATCTACTTGCCATTTGGCGAATTGTGTACTCACTTGTCACAATTAATCTATAAAAAAATCTGTGATAGATGAATTATGACACATATGTAAATGTTATTATTTACTATTTGCTTGGTAGAATTGTAAATACGCACCTATGTACATTACAATTATAATTGAAGATGATTACCTATATCATACGACTAGTGGCATTAGATTTGGCAATAGATAATAATATACTGTTTGCGTTAAGATTATTAAGCAACTAGATAAAGATATTTAAAGATAACTTTACTGCTATAACATTATATCCATTAACAAAGATAATAATAAACGTTTTTGGCAATTATGAAATGTAATATTCGCTATTAATTCAATCAGTACTAAAGTTTATTTTGATAAATGGAGATTTTGGTAAAGAATACAAATATTAGTAACAGATTTGGACGGGTAGTTTATAATTTATCATCATCATCTTATTACAGCTCTTCACTAGTTCATTGTCGAACATAGGCGTCGCCATAACCGAGAAATGAAAAAACACGGTACTGACTCATCTAATATAATAGTTTTTATTCAAATATTCTGAAAGTCCAAAATAAGATCTCGAAATTTTTTAATTTGTTCAGTACTCGTACCGGCACTTATCATGGATTTATCGCCTGACATTAGTGGGAAATCAAACGAAATAAACGCAATTTGCGATAAATATGTGATTTCTTTTATATTATCAAGAAATCCTTTTTTCAGTCGATTGTCAGATAGCAGCGTCACCGGTTGTGATAGACCTTTTATAGATTCTAAATATTGTTTTGTTCGTAAATTATCTTCATCGTTGCAGATCACATCTTATCAGCGGTAATACTGGTGAGATTCAATTTCAAGTGCTCAGTTATAATATCTTTATTGTTAGTACTTTGATTTGTATTATTATCATTAAATAAATTTTGACCTACTATTCAAACCTATTTAAACCTGCAATTTAATTAGATAAAATGTTGGCAGTTGAAGAGATAAACTAAAAGAATATTTTTTTAAGAACGTTCTTCATATGGTAAAGGAATTTATTCATAGATATGTCATACATTTTAAATGATTCTTTTTTTAAAATACTATATTTCATCAGATAATAGGTAGACTTGGTGCAAATTAGACGCATAACCCTGATGACTTATATGAAATATTTACATGCGTAACTACATTTACGTCATTGTTATCAAGTTTTATCCGTAAGATGTTGATATCATATATGTTAAGAGACAAGATTTAATATTTATTATTTTTATTTAGTTAATATAATTTACCTCCATTTAATTATTTTTACATTGGCCTGAACACTGTTAAGATTGTTAATTTCCCCCATAGCATATACTACACCTAGTATTGGGTTAGAATATTGTACATTTTTGAAAATTCTTTTAAAATTAATAAAAAATGTAAACATTCAAATGAATACAGTTATTTTGAGTTTTAAACAAACTTTTGAATATGTTGCATTAATACTCCAATACACCATAGTGATTAATTGAATTTGCCCATTTACTATACTTTCGATTAAAATCGTGAATTATCTAATAATAATTTAAAACAGTAAATGCGATATGATGTATCTTATCGCCACCTACCCTGCCGTACCTTATCTCAACATAAATTACTAATCACAAAATGAAGTTGGTAATACGACTATTTTTAATCTCTTCATAGCAGTAATTTTCAATCTATTCGCAATTTACATGAAAATGTAATGTCGTTTGCAGAGAATATGTGAGTACTCTTACTTTTTGAAACACGTTTAGTCCTACGACGTTTTTTTTACTTATTGTAAGCCATTGCTTGACTACAAGCCCACTTGGTGATAACTGATGACGAAGCCCTAGATGGTAAATTAAAATTATTAATTGTTACTTAAAAATAATAAAACAGAAAGCGGATTACCACCTAAGTGCAATCAATAACAAATAAAAAAATAGACGTAGTACGTTGCGATTTTTTTTTAATTTAGTACATTTGCTATAATTTGAATAGTAATAATATTTTATTATGTGACGTGTAGTGGTGTAAAAGAATCCACCAGTCCACCATACTATTTTGTCCCGAAGGTGTCATAAGAGGAAACTATAGGAAATGCTAGAAAAATATCATGGCTTCTACAATAGATGGCAGCACCATCTAGTTTTACTAGTACGCAGATCGGCGTCGCGACGGGAAGAAATGTTAAAGGTGTGAGTAAAAATTATCCCTGTCAAAGAAAAAATAACTTTTGTTGTTAAAAAACCCCTGGTAAAAAGAGAAACATGTGCTTTATGTAATTTAATGTAAATTCATTTTCAAAGATTTCAGAGACTGATTTGATAGGTCTATAAGAATATGCGCGTTTACATAGTCGCTAATCGAACCTTAATATATTTTTAATATGACAAAACACAACTAAAACTGTAAAAGTTGGGAGGTGCTCTATTATCGATAAAAACACATAATTCACTGGGCTCAAATTTTCAATACATTTGTAAAACATGTAAATGGAAATTAAAATGAACGTATTTTATAAAATTGAAAATCCTTTGTTATGAATTAATAGCACTTATTGCTTATAAAGTCTACTGTTATTTACGAATATACTTTGATCTTTGACTTTGGAAACGAAGTGAAATAAATTAACAAAATCTAATTAAGTACCTCATGTCTCACATTAAAACTATGAAAAATATTATTAAAAATATATTATTGAATACTGAATATTGAAAAGTTCAGCTTCATAAGTTGTCGAGGATCATAGTTTTAAATTTTTATGATGATTCGCTGTCGCTGGCTTGACGATCGTTAATTATATCTTCGAATGGAAGTCGCCATGAGTTTCGAGTCTGAATATCACCTGCTTTGTAAATAATTACGTCAAAAAACAAAGAACACAATAATACTTGAGTAATGAATAAACGTTCCTGAGCTGTGTAAACTATTAAACAAATGGTTTAGCGTTTCAACATATTGTCGTAAATTGCTAATTAAAGATTTTTGGAATATTTATAAATGTACTTACACAATTTGAAAACAGCTACAATTTTTTTTATACTAGCACACTGTCCACCTGATGGTAAGTGGATACTGTTGTCAATAAACAACCACATTTTTACTTAATTAAGAATCAAAATGCAGGTGCCTTGTTACCCCTGAGGACTAAGAATAGAATGCCTCGTTTCCAGTAAAATTTACTTACACCCTTGGTTAGAGCACACCTTTTCTAGTTTATTTTTTGTTAAAATGTGTTAGCGATGCGTTTTATCTTCCACCAGTTTCGTTTGTGATCATTGTAACTCATAATTATTATAAAGGACAGGACAATATATTTATACATAAATCGTGTATGTTGCCACGAAGCACAATTCTGAGGTACCTGCGTCCATCGTATTCCTGTACGTTTCATAATATACTCATTTTAATCTTAATCCTCAGGAATGACAACATATATGTAGCTATTTTCATTTGAAGTTGGTTGTTACTAATTATATTATGTTATTCTCACGTTGTAAAATTGCTGAAATATACAAAAATAACTACTGACACATGAATTGTCATTAACTGTACCTATACACTGAATAGGTAATTCGTCAATCCTGGCAAACACTTGAATGCGTTCTCTGTTTTGATAGCTATACAAAGATAAATAATTGCTAATTCACGACGCATGTATGTAAATGGGATACTTACATATTATTATGATGAGTTGTTCCTAGGAATTCGCACTCAAGACGGTTTCTTGAATGTATCTCTTGTCATAATCTTTTTTGACGCATTTAATTAGGAACTTGCTTAAAATGTTCTCAATTATCTGTGGGAGAAGTAGTAGATAAGCAAATTGTTTACTTTGCATACGTGAGGGTAATTTGGTCATCCGGTTAATATTGTCACTTTCTTATAACTCAAAAACTACAGCCTTATTTGCATAGATAACTCTGTGATACGATAGCTCTTCATCAGTCATTCAAATAATAAAACGTCAAAAGGGGTTTATTGACGCAATTTTGACAGTTGATATTATATTAAATATTTTAGTCGATTTTAGTATTGGGTAGTGTAGTTAGTTTTCTTTAAGTTGATTTTTCGAAGTGTTTCTAATTATTGCCAAGGCTTGTTTACCATTATTTATTAATATATTAGTTATAGTATGCGACTTTGTGTTTCTCTCTCTGTCCTCCTCCTAGTTTTGGTTTTATAGGGCAACAAAGTTTAAGGTGACCATATTACCTTACCTTTACCCTTACGTACCTTAGTCGTTATATTTATGAGTCCTACAAACAAATCGGTAGCCTTTATAGATATAAAATGTAGGTATATTTGATATACCTAGATACAACGCACAGATATCTTTAGTGAGTTTAGTGGCAATAAAAATCACTGCTCGGTTGGCTAACAACGCTTAATGTGCGGTTACACGTTATCGCAGCCGTATCAAGTGTTGTTTGTGGTATATCGGTTAATCAAATTGGGAGCGTATCGATATCACGGACGTCTTTAGATAGCGCACCACTTTTATCTTAATTGATTGTCTCTTTTTTGACAAAACACCGACTTAGGTATTACCGTTTTATTTGTTTGATGTTGCGCAAACGAGTTTGCTGAACGATTTTTGTATTTTCAGGTACGAGGAGAGAAGGCGCTACGTTTTTGGGCGCGTAAGTGACTACAATGCTGGGACTGAGCTCGATTGCGACCTTTTAATCGAGCGTTTGACTGTTGAAATGCGGATAGCGGTGTGGACTCAAAGTGCGTGTTAAAAAAAGCGATGCATGGTTTGTGAGGTCGGAGCGGCGGTCATGGACATGAGTGGCGAGGGTGGCGGAGCGGGCGCGGGGGCGGGCGCGCTTCAGCAGCGGTGGTACGACAGCCGCGTGAACGGCAGCCCGGCCGCCGCAGACGTCGGCTCCGATGCGAACGGCGACGGCTTCTTCCACTCGCCGCTAGAGGGCGGACATCACAGTCGCGCCCGTTACTATCATCAACAAATGCACGCCCCCTATTCCGCCGCAGTCGGCTCGCACGGTAAGTTTTTCAAATACTTCTTTTGTCAATTGAAATTGTAATTCTATCACATCGTTGTCTTCTTGATTTTAAAAATAATGTACCCATTATTTATGGCATTTTTGTAGTATTTGATAAAAACAATTAATTTGCGGTTAATAAGACGGTAAATAAAATTTAGAAGATCTATAAATCACCGTCATCTTAAAATCTCTAAAAAGTAAGCAGAAGTCGGAGCAGTAACAATTAAATACATTAAGCGGGTCTGTAATTCCGCAAAAGAAACTGTCAGTATTTAAAGCAAATTGCTGCCGCGGTCGGCAGCACGCAGGCTGCCCGAACCTTATCGCACATCAGACGATATCTCTCCAGAACTCCACAATTAATTCAACGGACCCGACCAGTCAAAGTCGCCGTTCTGTAAGGTGACAGGCTTAGGTAAACACGATCTAAAATGGGCCTCGACCGTAAAAGATAAAAAAAAAGTATAATTCCATAGTTTTTATTTTTTCATTTGAGGTTTAAATTTTATGGTCGCTATAAAGTTTTTCGTGGGGACAGGTGGCTCTTCTTTAAAATTTAACTACTCGCTCGCACTTGTACGGAACATCGTCTGCAGTAGGGTCCGTAAAGGCTAGATTGGCATGCGGCCGGTGCACTTAATTTATTAAACGGTGTGTCGGTAGTGATGTGACACTTAAGAAACTGTGTCAGTTCTCGGAATTGGAACTGGGAATCGATATGGTCCCGTCCGCAGCAGTTATGTGCTGTAGTTTATGTGTGTCCTGTCTTTAATCCGATTTTTAGCCTGTTTGTAAACTCGACCTGGTATCGTGTTATGTCGAGAGCCACGATGCGGCTTCTTGTCGCTTTGATTAAATCTAAATATTATGTTGAATTCATTTGTCGAAACACAGCAGTGAGTGTTTCGATTAGGTACTATTAAGTTATGTGAAACACGGGATTCTTTATTTTTATTGAAACATGTTGTATTCATCAAAAATAGGGTACCTCCTTTTCATATATATTTTTAACATGTTAGAGCCAACCCGTAGTGGCGATGTAAGATTCACTACGCCACGTCCCGTGGATGTCGTAAGAGGTGACAGAGGGAAATTGAAACAGGTGATGGGCAGCAGCATCTTGCTCATAACAACTAAAAATAATAAAAAACTACGGTTGCCAGTCCGCCTTTCAAACGTAGCAACTTTGGCAAAATTTACCATGTGAGACAACCTATGGTTTATGTTCAGCAGTGGACTTTTGTAGGCGGTAATGGATGGATGGATGAGAGTTAAGCTGTAGCTACGTTTAGGTTACTGCACAAATGGTTCGTCGAGTTGAATCCGTTGATTCAACTCGGCTGGTCAGCGTTCGGGAAACTACGACATATCTTCTCGTTAGACATACCTCAAAACCTGAAAACGAAATTGTACAAACAGTGCGTGTTGCTAGTGATGACTTATGGATCTGAGACGTGGTCCTTCACTGCTGGCCGTATGAAGAAGCTCACGGTCGCTCAGCGGGCTATGCTCGGGGTTTCTCTGCGTGATAAACATAGAAATGAGGATATCCGCAGTAGAACCAGAGTAACCGACATAGCCCAACGGATTAGTAAGCTGAAGTGGCAGTGGGCCGGCCATATACGAGCTCGAAGAACCGACAACCGATGGGGAAGAAAGGTTCTCGAGTGGCAGCCTCGTACCGGTAGGCGAAGTGTAGGGCGACCCCCCACTAGATGGAGTGACGACCTGGTAAGACATGCAGAAAGTCGATGGATGCATGTGGCTCAGGACCGTGCTTTGTGGCATTCCTTGGGGGAGGCCTATGTTCAGTAGTGGACTTATGAAAGGTTGTAATGATGATGATGATGACAAATGGGTCGGCTCGATCTTAGAAGTATCACGATCTCATAGAATACCACCAAACAGTCTACATTCTTAGCTGCTGTGTTTCCGACACTCGCTATAGGAAGCACAGCTGGTGAATGTTAGATGCTGTGTTTCGTATGTGAGTATAGACAACCGGAGACCATTTTTACTAATATCGAGGCTTACTATCTCAGTTCTCTGAAGTGAGAATACATACACCTTGATTATTAATTGAGAAAAGGTTTCGATTTGTCTCTCTTGTATAGTACAAACATATAAACCTCCAATAACTTCTCGCATATACGAGTATATCAAATACTATTTATATCTAATATATAAAAATTAATATCTTATTTGTTCGTATTTTGCGCTACCATACCATTCATTAGATTGCGGTAAAACTTTGTCAACTAATTGCTGGCACTAATGCGAAGGTTATATAGGCATAGTACAATTAAATTACAGTAGGTGGCGCGCGTATCGTACTGAAAAATTAATTTGAAAGTTATAGATCGTTCAATTTCAAAAAATTATCATTCCTTATTAAACAATATAAACGTTCCAAATTTAAAACAATATTTCCACAATTGTTTCTTCTGCGGCTGCAACACGCTGGGTACCCGCTAGTTGTTTATAAAGTCTCTTATACATGTACATTGCAATCTTATTTATTTATTTAACAATTTATGTGCACACAAAGTAATGTTACATTAAAACATAAAAAGATAATCTTAATTTTATTGCATTAGTTATTCTTCTAAAAATTAGTGTTTGTCATTTTCGAAATTGTCATTAATATATTTGTAACATCAGCTGCTCATCTCTTGGTTTGTTTCTCTCTGTCGCTTCTTATGACACCTTCGCGAAAATATGGGCTACCTATTTGATATTCTTACACCGCCTCTATACGGGTAAAAGTATAATAGAAATTTAGTTTAAAAAGTATAATATTTTGTTAATTATATTATTTAAATAAGGAATAAAGTTCACAGTGCGTTTGCTAGCAACAACATCCTTATTGTGGAATGTGCAATTAAGTATTAGGTTTGAAACACAGCGGTATTTAAAACCTTCTTCTACATTCCTTGAACTGTCTCTGTTTTATTATAAAGAAAAAACGTCAGTTGTGTTTGTTGAGTGTAACACGATACAAGGAGAGGGCATCCGATTTGACACGCACTCTATAATTTATCGCTTGGTGACGCGATTGATGATATGGATGAAATTATTTATTTCACTCCATTTGAGATGCAGCTTTATTACTTAAGTTTTGTTTTATTTAACCAGAAAACTAACCTTGGAATGTAACTGGAGTACATGTTCTAAAGCATTGATATAGGGAAAATAAAGTGTTAACATAAATTGCTGTACATTACTCTCATAGTAGACAGAGTTTGCCATAACTGCTATTTAGGCTTGACGAAAACATTAAGAATCGCAGTACAGACGGCTCCGTAGCACAATGGGTTCGGTTGTGGCGCTCAGAGCTACGGGTTCGAATCCCGCAAGGAGTGTTTGTATTGTATTAACAATTGTTTCGGGCTGGGATGTGTGTTTTTGCAATTTATGTCTGTAAGTGGCCTCCACGATATAGGAGAAAATATTACTCTGCTTGCAATGTTAAAAACAAAAGATTTCAAGAGAAAAGACGTATTGTATCTTTTACGCTGTGCTTTAGAATATTTTAGATCTGGTATATCTAAGATGGTTGTACCCCTATCCATTAGAGATCATGAGAACTTTCTAGAATTTTCCATAGTTTCTTCTTACGGAACCCATACAATAATGAGTATAAAGAGACAAAGTGTGTTCTCTTACACCACTGCAGAATTGTAATAGAATTAAAACACGGATTCGCAAAACAATAACATTAAAATCCCATAAATAAAATATAAGTGAAATAATAACAGAAAATTTGCATTGTTTGCGCTTTGCTGCTTTTTAACACGCTTTTATTAGTTTCACGTGTATCTATCTATCTATGTGACGGAATCTGTTAATGTAATTTCCACCAACTTGTAGACGGCCGGTTGACTTGAAAATTTGCACGCGTATTAAGGACCGATAACAATACAATAATTTATTAACTTTATCCTAATATCCTGATCAGGACAACCATAATAAAATAAAATATTTTTATTTTTAGCGTGTTTTAAGTTATAGTTTAAAAAAACTAATTTTTAAACTATAATTTATTGTTTATGCCAGTCTTTTTTTATATAGAATAAGGGTGACAAACGATCACACAGTCCACCTGATGGTAAGTGGTTGCTGTGGCCCATAGACATCGACATCTATCTTCGTTTGCGAATCACAATGCAGATGCGTTGTCACCCGTGACGACTAAGATGCAATACCTCTTTTCCAGTAAAATCGGTCTCCGGTTCTCTAAACTCACCAGCAAGAAACACAGCAGCATTAAGCTGCTATTTTACGCTGGTGTTCTGTGAGAGCGTGGTCATTACCCGGTCGTGCCGATCCATTCGTGCTACAACTATACTATTAATATAGCTGCAGCATGGCTCTACCACGTAAAAATGATAGTGATATGATCTTAACATTTCACGTTCCCTTCTTAGATACAACACGAATTTGTTACATAAGGTATATATATATTAGGTTTCTTTTAACATATCTACAACACTAAAACTAACGAAAGTAAGTTAATACAGCTTAGCACATCTTTCCTTAGGTATGCTATTTAGTATCGACTTTACAGAGTTTGTAATAATGTTATTAGGCTGCTACCTAAAATATTAATAAGTATTTCTATGATTCTATCTAAAAAAACAAACATCATATTCTAATTGTGCCTTGTGCTTCGATTTTCAAATATAGCATCTAAATCTGAGTAGCGGCGGCATAAGATAATTCACAACCAATCACATCTCTTGGATGTCAAAAGAAGCGATTATGGAAAGTGTCATGATGATGATGGCATTTAATAATAATGCCTTCCAGACCAAATTTTGGTCACAGTAGCCAGTCTCAATGGAGACTAGGCATCTGCGCTTGACAGGGTTATAGTGCCCGAGTGCGCAAACACAGGTGATCTCTATTCTCTTACTCTCATAACCTGATGGAACGGTAATCCGACACGACTGGGAAGAGATCAGAAGTAAAACCAACGATGTTACGTGCTTTCAGAGG